GAGTATTATAGTCAATATATCTTTGCCCAAGATAAAACTTTCAATACTTTCACATTGTAATTCTTTATAATGTTGAAATTCAAAAATATCTTGTAAAATAGTATCGATTCTTTATCTTTTTTAGAATGAAATCTTGAATTGATGATATTTAATTTTAATTTATAATTTCAGTAAAATCCACATAATTTGCACAGGCCTTGCTCTGGAAATCTTTTTAAAAATGAACCACAACCCTGACATGCTATGAAATTACCAAAATCAGGTATAAGTTCAAAAAAAGATGGATAAAATATAGATTTGCTAATGTTGTCTTGAACAGTTTTTCCATATGGAACTAAATCCTATTTTTTCAATTATCTAATTTTATTTTCTATTATTAATCAATATTAAAAATCATATTAAATTATATTTACAACTTACTTGAGCCTAATTAAAGTCTTGTAATTGGTTTTTTTAATCATGTATCTTTTTTGCTTGTGTTTCATTTCTTTCATGAATTTTAGTAATATTATATTTACGTTTATCTTGTCTATATTTCCAAACTTTAATGATATTTAACAAATCCTGTTCTGAAAAATCAGATATATTACTTGCATTTCATATTATTTGTAATATTTTTAAGAGCCCATTATTATTATGAATTATTGCTAATGCATGACGTGTTTTATAGGATTTTGGATAATCTTGTTTTTTATCTGTATAATTTAATTTGATTCTGTTTATAGATTCATTTTGACTAGTTTGCATTTCTGTAATTAAACTTTGACAAGGTACCAGTTGAGTAATTCCTTTGAGAAATTCTTTCAAATTATTTAATTGTATACTAGAATAACCGATAAGATTTGGTTCTAATAAGATTAGATCTGGATTATTTACTTTTCAGCACATTTCTCCTCAACAATAATTATGATTATTAAACAAGTGATCTACCACAACATCATAATGCATTTGATATAACTCTTTATCAGTGGGTGAGAGAAGATTATTATCATCAGTATAAATACAAATAGCATATATTACTTTATTATAAAAGTTCATAATAGATTGTTCAAGATATTTCCATTCATTATTTTTTGCTAATTATACAAAAGAATTATATATGTAAATAAATTTATAATTATTCATAAATTATATAAAATGATATTTACCAATTTTTTTCTGTACAATTACTGCTTTATGCTTCAAATCTGTAAAGATTTTGGCTACAACTAGTTGCTCTGCTAATGTTTTATTACTGTTCAAATTATCATCTATAGCGACACCAAGAATCATATTATATTCAATAAGAACAGAAGAAATTTTGGTAATTGAACTGATTAAATTGGCATATTCTATTTGTTTACTACTTCTATTATAATTTTCTTCTGTTATTATAATTATTTCTTCTTTTTTTGTTTTATATTTATGAGGTTTTTCTACTAAATGATATCCAATAATAGGCTTGACATGATATCTTAAGAGTATTATATTAGATAAATTATACATATTGATATATAAATTAATTTTTAATATAACTAATCTTTGATTTTTCTATTATATACAAATTCGCCACTGACTTGTAATGTCTCCCATATATAACTCCAAGAATTATCAAAACTAGCCTCAAGCATATGAGCATCTTGTGATTGTACTTATTCACATGTAGCATGCAAAGCAAATTCAGCACTACTTTCAGCACTTTCTTGAATTTCTTGGAAAAAGATTTCTTGTTTTTGAAAGTATTGCTTCTTTTCATACTAACGTGTAATACCACATAAATATAGCATAATTGATCATTCTTCTTTATTAACACCACCAACTAATCCTGCTCCTGCAACAAGTTTTGAATAATTAATTTCAATCATCTCATTTTCATAATATGCTTTAATAGAACATTGAACACAGGTAATATTGATTTTTACTAAAAATTTAGAAATAGTAATTTTATGTTTTTTAGATGTAATATTTATATTTTGGCACTTTGAATATGGCTGCTTAAGAACTAATCTGAGAAAGATATCAGTACTAATAAATAAGCTAAAATCTAATTCTCCTTTAGCAATTAAATTATTGATAATTTCTTGAAACTTTGAATTTTTTTCTGTACTATTCTTTTTATTCCCATCATCATTATTATCATCATTATCATTGTTATTGTCATTATCTTTTTCTTCTTCATCATTATCTTTTTCTTCTTCTTCATTATTATCATTGCCATCAGCTTTTTCTTCTTCATTATTACTATATAATCAATAACATTTTTATTTTTCAGCTAAATTTTAACTTTTTTTGTATTAAATACCTTGATGTTGAATTAACAGACTCTTTTTTGAATAATTCTTGCAAGTTATCAAATAAATAATGCAATTTTTTATTAGTACTATCTAGTATCTGTACCGTCTTTCTTTTTACTGATTTTAATAAAGTATTTGTATTCATTTTCTTTTTAGTTTTATTTTTTATTATATTTCAGAGTGATATTTTCACATTCATATAATAAAAATTTGAAATGCAAATTATAATGGATAGTTTATTCAATATTGATATTGATATCGATATTTATTATTTCTCAATTTAGTAATATACAGTATAGTGATAGTAATCTCAAAGATGGACTCAAATACATAATTACTATCAAGATATCAAAGAATTGAGCTCTTTTTATTATTATCATTATTCACTATATAAGACAAATAGAAATGGCTAAGTTAATTATTTTTTTATTTTTTTAACCAAGATAAACTCTGTTTCTGTGACATAACTATGACTAAAATAAACTCTCCATTCTTGCTTTTTTTTACTCATGACATATTTATGGTCAAGATAAATTATCTGTTCTTGCAAGGTAAACTTTTTACTTGCAGCATGTCTATATTCAAGGATGGACTCTATTATCATAATGAGACTTATATTCTACCAGTTAGGAAACACTTTGTTCTTGTTAGTTATGTGTAATAGGACTTTATCCTGTGTAAAATAGTAGGCTTTCTATTCTTGCTATTCATTGCTATATAGAAGCGTAATTTACCAAGCATTACAGGTTAAGGATCAATAAAGTATATGAAAATCTGGTACGATATACATACACTTCACCCAAATCTAAAAGATAGATCTTATCATATTTCAAATATTCAAATTATTATTGATGATATTTTTACAAAGACTTCAAGTAGCATATTCATGATATTTCACTTAGTAAATGTGTGCACGCATTTATCTATATAATTTAAAAGAATTTAAAGTATATGCGTATGCAAAACTGTTAGACATAGATAATTATATCGTGAAGTATATAAAAATCTGAAGAGAAAAAAATGTAAGTTAATATTAAAATTAGTAAATGAAGATGTTCTAATGTTAAATACGAAAAGGGACTTATCAAATATAGCTTGTTCTATAAATATAATGCAATAAAATAATTAAAATTTGAAAACTTTTATCCCACAAATTCATGTTGTTAATATTTAAATTCAATTTATTATTTATTTAACACTTTCAAAATAATTATTTTTAAATATTAAATGAAATACAATAAAAAACAGGTCACCATTACTTTTGCCAGGAACCATAAAAGAGAAAAAATAAGGAAATAAAAAAGTGAATATTGCATGAAAATTATTTACATATAACAATAGAGAAAAATAAAGGAAAGAAAAAAGTTGAATAAAAGAAAAGAAACTGAGATGAAAAAGTCATTACCATACAAAAGTTCATAAAGAATGATAAAAATAGTTATTTCTTTTTTTCTTAAATCTGTCGCAAATTTACTATCATCACAAAGTGTTACAACTTCAATACTAAAGCCTTCTGATTTAAGTCAATTAAGATATTGAACATATTTAACCTATTATATCTGAAAAAAAGAATAAAACTGAAATACATTTCTAATTAGTAAAGTTAGAGTAAAATCTCAACGTAACTCAAATTATCTTAGTATTAGATAAATGAATAAAAATAAATTCTCCAACCAGCCAAACACCTTCAACCAATCTGAACTCTTCTATTAACCTATTCCAACCTCAAGAACACAATATATCTAATCTGAGAAGAATTCTAATTTATATAATTAGAATCCTCCTCAGAAAAATGTAAAAAAATAATTAATGATTACTATATATTAAAAATAAGAATATATATAATAAATACTTTCTTACCATGTATATATAATATGCATATGTTGTTATCTGCAATTTACCTCAATATCTCAAACCTTACCTAATTTTTATTTATCTAACTAAACCAAGATAATTTGAGTTGATGAAGTGTTACTATACCTTTACTAATAGAAATGTATCTACAATTTTATCTCTTGTTTCTCAGGAGGTATATTAAAAATCAACACAATTATTATATAATTGTATTTGATTTTTAATACAATCCATACAATAAGTCATAACATATCCAAACCAAAAAAGACAAAAGATCAGCAAGATTTCAAAGTGTCAAAGAATTATGCAACAAATTATATAATAAAATATCTGGCTATTATATAATGAAATCCATTATATAAAATTGTGGTAACAGAGATCGTGGTGACATAAATAGTAGAAAAAAAAGATGCTGGTGACGATGAAGATGAAGATGATGGTGATGATAAAAATGGTAGTGAAAATGGTGATGATGAAGATAATGGTGAAAGTTCTAATGGTAATGGTGATGATAATGTTGGCAAAGATGGTGGTGATAATGTTGGCAAAGGTGGTGGTGATAATGTTGGCAAAGGTGATAATGATAATGATGGTGATGGTGTTGGTGGTGGTGGTGGTGATGGTGATGGTGGTGATAGTGGTAATATTGTTAATGATGTCAATGATATTTTTTTAATTCTTTTGTTATTGTTATTATTATCATCACCATTATCATATTTTCTTTTCGACACTAATTTTGATGTCGATAATATTTTCTCAAACCATATTTTTTTAATTCTTTTATTATTTTTATTATCATTATCATCATCATTGCCATATTTTCTTTTTGACAATGATGATGCTAATTTATTGTTATTATCATTATTATCAGACTTAGCATCTTTCAAAGATTCGATTGATTCTTTGAGTTCATCTTCTTGAGGAAGAATATATGGTTCAACCCCAGTTGGAATATTGTATATCGCAAATGGAACGAGAATCGACCCCCGAGCAAGTGGATACACTTTTTTTTTAAACTCGTCAAAACTACATGAAGGCTGTTTTTTTTGCTTATAAATTGGCAGCTTGATTACTATCGTTAGCTGATTTCAATTTTTAATGTTCATAATTTGTCGAGACCGAGTATAATTATCACCATCCTGTGATCTTGCATGAATTTTTAAAGTAATATCTGAAAGACCAATAGTTGGTATTATTGATATTTCTTTAATTAATCATTCTTTAGCCTCCTGTGTAGTTAATACGGGAAATGTACATTTCAATTTTTTTTGTACGTGTTCTGAATATTTTTGCGCAAGTGAATTAAAATCTGGATGTAACTGTTCAATTTTGAATTTTCTTTTTTAGAATTTTCTGACAGTTGAATTAGAGATAAAGATTTTGCTGATAAAGGTGGATTAATTTGAGATAAATATAGATGGAGTGTTTCAATTGATGAAGATGATGACGATAAAGATGATGATGATGATGAAGATAGAGATAACGATGACAATGATGATGACGATGATGATGATGATGAAAATGGAGATGGAGATGAAGATGATGATGACAATGGAAACAGAGATGGAGATGAAGATGATGATGATAATGGAAACAGAGATGGAGACGGAGAGCTACTTCTGTTATTAGTGCTTAATATTTTATTTAAGAAAGATGCTGCAGATTCATGTTTCTTCGATCTTTTGAGAAATTGTTGTTAAACTATTTCTTCTTTGATTAAAAGAATTATGAGTGGAATTAATACATTAGGTAGAATTGGCATCATTCCTTATAAATTGTCATCTGATGAGAAACCAGAGTTATTAGGTTTTTTGCAATCCATTAATAGTATAATATTTTTAAAGCTGGTAAAATATAGAAAATTTTTTAGCAATTTATCGAAATATCATAAAAAATTTTTTCGATATAACATTTTTTGAATCAATCAAAGTGATATTTATCTTTTGTCACATAAATGCTCGTATTTCTAATACTTTTTTGATAAATGTATCCCCAAATTAGTTAATATGGGTTTGTAGGTTATTTATAATCAAATCACATGTGTGCTTTTTTGCTTTACCATTTGGTGTAATCAGAGCTACGTAGTGACCAAGATTATATTATCCACCCTTTGCTAATTTTAATTATCATATTTCGATTCTATTTATAATAGTGGCAAAAATTAAATTATCCAATTGCATCTCCTATCTGATGATTTCAAATACATGTACCATCCTCCCTTTACTGAATTTTAATACTTTTCAAATACTTTTTTACCATCTTTGTGTACGCTAATGCTATTTCGAATTTATATTATTATTCATTCTCTGCCAATTTTAATACAAAAGAAGAAAAGAATTATTTTTTTAGTCAAGCAGAAAATAATCTTGATAATGTTTTTTAATTAGCAAATTTTTTAAGAAAAATTGTACAAGTTCAAAAAGAATATGATTTAAATAACAGTTTGCAAGATAGTTTATTAGATGAGATGAAAAAAAGAAAAATACAGGTTTTCAATTCAAATGATTAACTTACAATTGCGATAATCCTCATGAGCGAATATTATTTAATAACCATGAGGAAAAGAACCACATTAGCATGTTAAAAGCTTTTTTCTCATCTTTTTGTGTCTAATATCTTTTTGATAACAGAGCTCCAATACGTTTTGATGGCGAAAGGGGAGTTATTTGAATTACTTCTTTTCTCATGTTTATCTATGTTATGGATGCGTATTTCATATTAAGAGTTTTGTGAAAAAAAAGAAGTTAGTGAAGATGAATTCTATTTATTCTAAATGTGGTACTACACAAAAATTTGTTAACTGACCTAATGAAAATTTACAAAGATGTGTTCTTTTCAGCTTTTCCAGTTATCAGTCGGATTGAATTAGTCACTAATAAATCCTTTATCCAGCAATTGGTTAATTTTGGCATGATTTCATTAACCAGAGAGAACTAGCTGATTCGTTGGATAAGTCATTAGATAAGTTATTCAATACGTGGTCATCCTCGAGTTTGACATTTTAATTTGCTCGCCTTCACCGATTAAAATTTGATTACAATTTACGCTCTGTGATAGCACCTTGAAATTATTTTGAAGGATTCAGGCCAGGTGTACAGTATAAATTATGACCTCTTCTTGCTGCAAATTGTAATTTACTTATTCTATGCAAAATTTTTTTTCATATTCCATTTTCTTATGCGGTTCATTATATATATCTTTTTGTTTAATTTCGTCTAGTGATCATGAAAATATTACTTCACAAAGTTACCGTTCACAAAAATCGGCCATTGATTTTCATTGTATGCAAAATCATGCCTTGCGCTATCTCGTCTCCCAGTTTAAGTTTATATTCTTTCTTTGTGGTTTCATTATTTTCGAGGTTGATTTTGTGGATTCTTTGTTCACCAGTTTCTTTCGTTATTATATATCTTAAATTGTCAGATTAGGATATGCGTTTTTTGCTTGTACTCAGTGATTCCTTCTTTCACCATCACTGGCTTCATTGTTGCTTTGATTCTTCTCATTGAATCTTTCATCAAGGGGTACCAAATTGTTAGCTGGATAAGGTTTTTAGCAGAATTATGACAAATTAGTGTTATACGAACTGTTTATATATTATTCTCATAATGATTAAATGATTAAATGATTAATGATACAATGATCTTATAAGAATGATGCATTATAAAGAAATAATCAATATCGATATTGTTATATATAAATTATCTTTGTTAGATTGACACGTGAGATTATGTGATATTGAAAGACAGGGTAATGTATATTGGAAAAAATATTGGGTTGGTTGGTAGTTATTCATGTGATCTTGAATTTGCACAACTCGAATTCTATTTTTATCATACATGACACTGTAAATCTCAATTACATGAGAAACCCTACCCTTAAGGGTAGAGTTTCTCATGTAATTGAGATCTACAGTATATGATAAAAGAGTTGTGCAAATTCAAGATCACATGAATAACTACCCAATATTATATAACCTCACGTGCCAATCTAATAAAGATAATTTTATATATAACAATATCGATATTAATTATTTCTTTATAATGCATCATTCTTATAAGATTATTGTATTATTAATCATTTAATCATTATGAGAACAATATATAAACAGTTCATATGACATTAATTCGCTAAAAACCTTATCCAGCTAACAATTTGGTGCCTCTTGATGAAAGATTCAATGAGAAGAATCAAAGTAATAATGAAGCCAGCGATGGTGAAAGAAGAAATCACCGAGTACAAGCAAAAAATGCACATCCTAATCTGACAATTCAAGATATATAATAATGAAAGAAACAGGTGAACAAAGAACCCACAAAATCAATCTCGAAAATAATGAAATCACAAAGAAAGAATATAAACTTAAACTGAGAGACGAGATAACGCAAGGCATAATTTCGCATACAATAAAAATTAATGACCAATTTTTGTGAACGGCAACTTTGTGGAGCAATATTTCCATGACCACTAGGTGAAATCAAACAAAAAAATATACATAGTGAACCGCATAAGAAAATAGAATACAAAAAAAAATTTTGCATAGAACAAGTAAATTACAATTTGTAGCAAGAAGAGGTTGTAACCTATGCCGTACACCTGGCCCGAATCCTCCAAAACAATTCCAAGATGCTATCACAGAGTGTAAATTGCAACCAAATTTTAATCGGCGAAGGCGAGCAAATTAAAATATCAAACTTGAGAATGATCACATATCGAATGACTTATCCAATAACTTATTCAATGACTTATTTAATAACTTATCCAACGAATTGGCTAGTTCTCCCTGGTCAACAAAATCGTGCCGAAATTAACTAATTGCTGGACAAAGGATTTGTTGATGACTAATTCGACCTGACCGATAACTGAAAAAGCTGAAAAGAATACATCTTTATAAATTTTCATTAGGTCAGTTGACAAATTTTTGTGTAGTACCACATTTAGAACAAATAGAATTCATCTTCACTAACTTCTTTTTTTTTTCACAAAACTCTTAACACGAAATACGCATCTATGACATAGATAAACATGAGGAAAGAAGTAATTCGAATAACTCCCCTTTTGTCACCAAAACGTATTAGAGCTCTGTTATCAAAAAGATATTGGATGCAAAAAGATGAGAAAAAAGCTTTTAACATGCTAATGTGGTTCTTTTCCTCATGGTTATCAAATAATATTCACTCACGAGGATTATTACGATTGTAAGTTAATCATTTGAATTGAAAACCTGTGTTTTTCTTTTTTTCGTCTCGTCTGATAAACTATCTCACAAACTGTTATTTAAATCATATACTTTTTGAACTCGTATAATTTTTCTTAATAAATTTGCTAATTAAAAAATATTATCAAGGTTATTTTCTGCTTGACTAAAAAAAATAATTCTTTTCTTCTTCTGTATTAAAATTGGCAGAGAATGAATGACAATGTAAATTCGAAATGGCATTGGCGTACACAAAGATGGTAAAAAAGTATTTGAAAAGTATTAAAATTCAGCAAAGGGAGGATGGTACATGTATTTGAAATCGTCAGATAAGAGATGTAATTGGGCAATTTAATTTTTGCCGTTGTTATAAATGGAATCGAAATATGATAATTAAAATTAGCAAAGGGTGGATAATATAATCTTGATCGCTACATAGCTTTGATTATACCAAATGGTAAAGCAAAAAAGCGTACATGTGATTTGATTATAAATAACTTACAAACCCACATTAACTAATTTGAGGATACATTTATCAAAAAAGTATTAGAAACACAAGCATTTATACAACAAAAGCTAAATGCCACTTTGATTGATCCAAAAAATGTTATATCAACAAATTATCAAAAAATTTTCACAGTTATATATATTTTGTCAGCTTTAAAAATATTATACTATTAATAGATTGCAAAAAACCTAATAACTCTGGTTCCTCATAGGATGACGATTTACAAGGAATGATGCCAATTTCGCCTAATGTATTAATTCCACCTGTAATTCTTTTAACCAAAGAAGAAATGGTTCAACAACAATCTCTCAAAAGATCAAAGAAACATGAATCTGTATCAGACCTAATATCTAGCTCTTTAGCAGCATCTTCCTTAAACAAAATATTAAGCACAAAAACATCTAAAGAAATATCTAATAACAGAAGTAGCTCTCCATCCTCATCTCTGTTTCCATTATCATCATTATCTTCATCTCCATCTCTATTTTCATTGTCATCATCATCTTCATCTCCATCTTCATCTCCATTTTCATCATCATCATCATCATCATCATCATTATCATTGTCATCATTATCATCATCTCCATCTCCTTCTCTATCTTCATCATCATCTCCGTCTTCATCATCATCATCTTCATCAATTGAAACACTCTATCTATATTTATCTCAAATTAATCCACCTTTATCAGCAAAATCTTTACCTCTAATTCAACTATCAGAAAATCCTAAAAAAAGAAAACTCAAAATTGAACAGTTACATCTGGATTTTAATTCACTTGCGCAAAAATATTCAGAATGTGTACAAAAAAAAATTAAAATGTACATTTCCCATATTAACTACACAGGAGGCTAAAGAACGATTAATTAAAGAAATGTCAATAATATTAACTATTAGTCTTTTAGATATTGCTTTAAAAATTCATGTAAGATCACAGGGTGGTGATAACTATACTCAGTCTTGACAAATTACGAATATTAAAAATCAAAATTAGCCAATAATAGTAATCAAGCCACTAATTTATAAGCAAAAAAAACAGCCTTGTAGTTTTGATGAGTTTAAAAAAAAAGTGTATCTACATGCTTGGGGGTCAGTTCTCATTCCATTTGCAGTATACAATGTTCTAACTGGGGTTGAACTATATATTCTTCCTCAAGAAGATGAACTTAAAGAATCAATCAAATCTTTGAAAGATGCTAAGTCAGATGATAATGATAATAACATTAAATCAGCGTCGTCATTGTCAAAAAAAAATATGGTAATGATGATGATAATAAAAACAATAAAAGAATTAAAAAAATATGGTTTGAGAAAATATTGTCAATATCAAAATCAGTGTCGAAAAGAAAATATGACAATGGTAATGATAATAATAACAATAACAAAAGAATTAAAAAAATATCATCGATATTAACAATATTACCACTATCACTATTATTATCATTATCACCTTTGCCAACATTATCACTACCACCTTTGCTAACATTATCATCACCATTACCATTAGAACTTTTGCCATTATCTTCATCACTACCATTTTTATCATCACCATCACCTTCATCTTCATCATCACCAGCATCTTTTTTTTCTACCATTTATGCCACCACGATCTCCGTTATCACAAATTTATATAATGGATTTCATTATATAATAGCCAGATATTTCATTATATAATTTATTGCATAATTCTTTGACGCTTTGAAACCTTGCTGATCTTTTGTCTTTTTTGGTTTGGATATGTTATGACTTATTGTATGGGTTGTATTAAAAATCAAATACAATTATATAATAATTGTGTTGATTTTTAATATACCTCCTGAGAAACAAGAGATAAAATTGTAGATATATTTCTATTAGTAAAGATATAGTAACACTTCATCAATTCAAATTATCTTGGTTTAGTTAGATGAATAAAAATTAGGTAAGATTTGAGATATTAAGATAAATTGCAGATAATTATATATGCACATTATATATATATGAT